CATTTGAGCCACTTTGTGGACTCAAGGGTTTTATTGTTGGCATGTTGCTATTTTGAGGAACTGAAATAGACTGCGCCATTGACTGACTAAAAGCTGATCTAAAGTCCAGCGTAGAGCATGTTAGTTATGCGCGTCTGCAGGTTTAAACGCCTAAACATTGCTTAAGACACAAAGGATGTACAGCAATACACAAATATCTTTACATATGAAAAAAGGTTTAAAATGTTACAAAAATTATTATGTTGTACACAAATATAAAAACTACTACCTACATGCCTCATCTGGGGGCCGGCTGGGGGGTGGGGGGGTATGCATTGTATATATGTATTTGTTATAATAAAAAACAAGTCTGTTATCTGTCAAATAACATCTGTCGGGTTTTGGAGTGTGCATCACCATATAGGGCATATGAATAGGATGCTTGTTTGGATATAACTCAGTTGTTTGAACACACTTCATTATTATTGTTAATTTATTCATTTGCTGGAAATTAGAACTGAATTTAGAAATAGTTTTGAAACAAATCTTTGCGCTTAAACTAAATTAAATATGTAGGATAATCGATGTCTTCAGTGGCCGAATGGAGGAGACTCGTTCTTTATCCTCGCGCTGCAGATGGTCTGTTTAACGGTTTTCTCACTAGTGAAGCATTTAGTTTTTCAAATTACAAAGTCCTCCATGTAAATAGCAAATAGCGCGACGCAACTGACTCTAAAAGGCAATGGGAGATAAGACTCTGATTGGTTTAATGCACATAAACATTAAAGCACAACCTTGTTAGACTATGCGCCGGGGTGCAGAGCAGCTTTTTCCTTCCTTAAAATAGCAAAAGTGGATTCGGACACATCCTTAATGACTTTGCGCCTAGATCATTAAAATAGGGCCCTATGTCTTTAAGAATGATAATACTGTGACAATATTCTATATGTCACCCTGGCCTGGACACATACTGTAAGGTTAACTACACAAGAATGAACATCTAAACTCATTATAAATAGTACATTTATTTATTTAATAACTCTGATGTTTGTACATTGTAAGACATTTTTCTTCACGCCACTGCAGTCACGCTAAAAATGATATAAATGAAACAATATTGGACGTTTTACAGGAAAATCCCTTTTTTTTCTAGGGATGCACAATATATGATTTGCCATATTTGTAAGTGCTGTGAGATGCGTATTAATGTCATCAGCCTAATAGGAAATTTATATTTAGCAGCTTGCAAATATAGAGAGTTATCAATTATAGGGATATCCTTAAACTTAAATTTTCCAACTTCTCTTTAGTGGGGGCCATTGTGGGGTGATATTAAATGCTCATTCTTCAAAAATAATTCTTCATTTTCTTACTTTTTTGTCAAATAAAAGAAAGAAAGAAAGAAAGAGAGAGAGAAAGAAAGAAAGAAAGAAAGAAAGAAAGAAAGAAAGAAAGAAAGAAAGAAAGAAAGAAAGAAAGAAAGAAAGAAAGAAAGAAAGAATGAAGTGACTACACTTAATTCATCAAGGATAAACACAATGAAGTTTCATTCTGGTCCTTAATGTAAACTAACAACTTTAACAATTTAGAGAAAATATCATCTGTCACAGTCTACAGACCAATTCAGGGGTCGGCCTAGAAAATAAATTATAAAAATAACAAACACCTTTTATCCATAAATGCAAACCCACATGGAAACAGATGGCCATCCTCAGTCACACATACACCACCAGCTGGCCAGACATCTTTCAGAGCTCTGCATACAAGCAGGTCTATAGAAAGGAAATTGCTCCCTCTCATGATGCTCCAATGATGATCGAGAGAATAGTGATCAATACTTCCAAAAATAGTCCTAACAGGAGTGATAGGCAGCATAGCATTAGGCACAGACTGAAATATAAATCATTATTAGCTGAAATTTGGCTTTGCGGAGATTGAAAAGACTGTTTGAACAGTTAAGGACTGTTCACTGCTAGAGGAATAATTATTAAGTTAACTTTACATCATCATATGATACATTCACACACCATGTAAATGCAGCACTAAAGGAGGAGCACTTAAATATAAAACAGTTCTTTGTTCAATATTCTGTTTCAGTAGTCAATGTCACAATACTGAATGTACAATGCGATTCATATAATATGTACCAAAAAAAGCCAAAATGGTCACTCGGGTTGAGAACAAATAATATATGGAAACATACAAATTAATATATAGGCATAGGCCGGTATAAGATTGTGACTGAATGATAACCTTGGATAAAAATATCACGATTTTACGGTATTGTGATAACTGCTCTAAAACATATTCTTGTTAGTAAATGTGCAGGTAAAAAACTAAAAGATTGTCCCCATTGAACACAAAATATTTTATTTTGGAGCAGTAAACATGTCAATCATTGACTTCTGCTGTCTTCATTAGTTTAAAAAAACTGATTTTATGATGTCTTTTCTGCCAGATATACTGTTGTCCTGAAAAAAAATGTAAAAAAAATTCTTACACCTTAGGGACGCTATAGCAGAATATTTTGGCGGTTATAAAATCTTGACTTTTCCAAATCTCGGTATATCTCAAAAATGGTTATCGTCCCATGCCTATTAATATAGCAAAGTAATATAGCTATAAATTATTAGCTTCTCAATTTAAAAAGTTGTGAATTTACTTCAAATCGCATAACAAATTAAACTTTACTCGCCTTTTACACACAATCATGTGGCTTCATCCCTTTGTGAGTTTCCTTTTTCTGTTTAACACAAAAGAAGATATTTTTAAAAATGTAAGAAACCTGTAACCGTTGACTTATATAGTAGGAAAAAAAATAGTATGGAAGTCTATGGTTAGGGGTTTTCAGCTCTCTTCAAAATATCTTCTTTTTTTTACAACAGAAAAGCTTAAAGATTTGAAAGAAGGGTGAGTAAACGATGACAGAAGTGTAAAAACGAATGGGTCAAATATACTAATAACAGAAGCAAAACAGCGTTTTTTCAGTTCCTCATAAAAACAAGGTACAGGTACAGAACAACATACTGGTAAAAAAAAAAATAATATATATATATATATATATATATATATATATATATATATATATATATATATATATATATATATATATATATATATTAACTGGGTTAACTGTTCCTTTAAACTTTGGACAAGGATCTTCATCCTGTTTACACTCTTATGTCTTCGGTATACAAAACCTAACGTGTTAAATATTTTGGTAGTCTGGACGTTTTCGTCGAACGATATCATGTTTAAACATGAATCGTCACATGAAAGTAATAAGCCGTAGTAAACAGGGCTTCGTCTGTACGCCAGAATTCAGCTGGTGACTGTCACATGAACAGCCATTAATAATGGATACGGGCTTGGCTTGCGTCTATCGGCTTACAATGGCGAGGAAAATACAGATCATCGCGGCATGACAGATGACATAAGGGATTTCCCCTTCGACAGCTACAGACAAACTAAGAATTTACGCGACGTTTTTGTTCGTGGACGTGTACAGTAAGGCCACGAGAGAGAAGCGGTTTGTTCATTCATTGACTCGAGCTGCTGCCGCTGCGCACATCCATCCATCCATGCATGCATCCCATCATCCCGCTTCATTCACGACTGAACGCAACTCCCGCAAAGTGTGGAGAAAGCATGGGGTCGTTTCATACCTGGACTGCCCGAGTGAAGAAGACACCTGCGTCCGACGCTAGTTTCTTGACATTGAAATCCATCGTGTCAGCGTTTTCACTGTGTGCGTTTCAGCAACATCAGCTTGTTGGTTGTCCCTGCAACGGGATCGATTGTGCAGGAAGAAGCTGATTCGACAGCGCAACCTGGAGCTTAATGATCTTACCATCGGTTACATCCGCCATCATCTACTCGGTCTGCCGTACGCACTTTAACCATTTCGTTCCCGTTTGTTAAAGTAGATTTCATAAATATGTAGATTCGATGATCTTTTATTGTTTACTTCTGGTCTGATCTCTTTTGTATTTGAAAGATCTGACTGAGGCATTTTAACACATCATAACATGCATGTTAGCTTTCTTTTTATTTGAAATACATAAATCAAATTAAAGTTTTAGTGTAAAATATTTTAGGGGTTCCTTTTACACAAATTACAGGAGTGTTTTTACTTTAATAATAAATTAAAAATTGTCCAAATGCAGTTAAATCTCACTAAATACTCCAAGCAACTATCTAATGATATATTTAAATAACAATTTGGCAACAGAGAAACAAATAATTGTCATAATTGATCATGTAGATTTAACCAATAAGAAAAGAGTAAAATAGAGAGGCAATCCGCATAACAAAAAGTAATAAATACTAAATGTTCAAGCTCCTTTTACCACTCAATATATTCCATTATGGAAATAAATATTTAAGATTTTACTTCATGTCATCTCATTTTTGTCTGCTTTTCCCAGACTTCCCTCTCCCTAGACACTTCCTCTGAGGGGATCCCGAGGTGTTCCCAGGCCAGCCAAGAGACAGTTCCTTCAGCGTGTCCGGGGTCTTCCCTGAGGCCTCCTCCTGATGGGACATGCCTGGGAAACCTCCATAGGTAGGCGTCAATGAGGCATCTGAAACAGACGTCCGTGCCACTTCAGCTGACTTCTCTCTGTGTGGAAGAGCAGCGGCTCTACTTAGAGCACTCACCTATAAGGGTGCGCCCTACCAGCCTGCAAGGGAAACTCATTTCGGCCGCTTGTATCCAAGATCTTGTCCTTTCGGTCATGACCCAAAGCTAATAGGTGAGAGTAGGAACGTAGATTGACTGGTAAATTGATAGCTTTGCCTTTCGGCTTAGCTCCTTTTTTACCACAAGTTTTTTTGTAAAAAATAATTAAATACATTTTTTTTAAATTCTGTAATTTTTTTTTTTTTTAAGTTAAGAAGCCAACACCTATTGTCACCTTTTAGATCATCAGGAACCCTTTTGTTAAAAGGATTGTGAACTTTGCATTTGTTTGATGCTTGTAATTTCAAAATAATCTAACTAAATGATTTAAGAAAGAAACTTAAAAGCTTAAACATTATTTTATTATTATACTGCATAAATACCTGAAAACAAAACATGCTCACATGAATGACCACTTATGAAGCTTCACATAACCAATGCTCAACAAAATTAAGAGATACAGAAGCTGCTGCTTTTGCAAAGTTGCAAGTCTGATATCTTGGTATAATTTACTTTGACTGCTTATCAAATGGTAACTCTTGGGTGAATGGGATATGTGTAATCGGTATCACATAATTCAATCATTATTTCAAAATAAGACTTAAATCCAATACTCATTTTTCTGCTTCATTCTTATGCATCTTTGGCATAATGCAATGGTCTCTGCACTTTTTCATAATAATTTTAAATACAACATTTAACTGTTTTTTCTTGAAGTGCCATGTTACAGCAAATACTCAGCATTATCTGTAAACAAAAAGCTCAAAAGCAGACTTCAAGAAGGTCAACTTAAAGCTTTAGTTCAACCCAAAATTAAAATTCTGTCATAGTTTATTTTCACGTCATTCCAAAATTCACAAGATTTTCAGAACAAAAATGACAAGATATTAACAAAATTTGTGATATTTCTGTTTCTCCATAAAGCCGGATGAAAGAAGTGTTTTAATCCAAGTCTCCTGAAGAGAACAGCCTTATGACTAACAGACCTAATGAACATATCAGAAGCTCACTAAACATTGTTCATGTAAAAAGCCTAAATGAAACCAGTTTATAATATAAAGCACAGGTGTTAAATCCAGTTCCTGGAGGGCTGCAGCTCTGCACAGTTTAGTTCCAACCCCAATTAAACACGTCTGATCAAACTAATTAAGTCCTTCAAGTTTTGTTTGGAACCTACAGGTAAATGTGTTGAAGCAGGGTTGGAACTAAACTGTGCAGAGCTGCGGCCCTCCAGGAACTGGATTTGACACCTGTGATATAAAGCAATGATGTCTCTTCAGAAGAATTTGTTCTTTTGGATCTCATCATCAATGTTTTAAAGTGCTTTTGTTGAACAAACTTTCAAAGAAATTATGAAAGCCTCTCATATTTAAATAAATGAATCTCAGTAATTATCAAAATTATTAGCAAAATTAGATTTCTGAGATTAGCAAAATAATATATAATTTAAAAAATAAGCTCTCAAGTTATATTTAATGGATCAAGGACATTTCCATATTATTTACAATAGTATCTTTTTTACTGAAAGTTGTGTTTTTCTTTGGCTAGAATAAAAAGTTTTAAATTTTTTTGAAACCATTTTAGGGTCAATATTATTAGCTCCTTATTAACCTAGTTAAGTCTTTAAAAGTCAATTTAAGCTGAATACTAATTAAGACTATTATGTTTAGAAATGTGTTGTAAAAATCTTCTTTCCGTTCAACAGAATTTGTGGGAATGATGAAAAATTAGCCAATTTGTCTGTCTTAACAAAAATAAGAAATTAAAATTTCACAAGAGGGCTAATAATTCTGACTTCAACTGTACATGTGTGTTCTCAAGAGGAACACATTTCTAATGCACTTGGTCCAACATGAGTGTAAACAAAGTCCTTTTAAGGTAAATCATTTCACTCAGCCACCATCTTTAAATTCCTCTCAGGCATGCAAGCTTCCATGCATCCAGCTTCTTCCTCTTTAAATGGGGAAACATCAAATTCTCCAAAAGATTTTGCCATTGGCAAGCGATTAACTTTTATATTTGGAATAACCAATAAACTTTAACAAAAACTCTCTTAGAAATATAGTTTTTAACTGCTCAAGTCATGAAAAAAAAGATGCCGTTTTTTAGGTTCCCCATGCGTATGCGCACCTGAAGAAAACAAATTCACAACAACAATCTCTTTATGGCTATTTTTGGAGGACACAATTCAGATGTCATCCTGTCAATCAGATTATGTAACTTCTGCAATAATCAATAACTAATGTTACACAGTTTCATCCTCTGATTGGTTCACATTGGTCTTCTAAGGTAGTTTCCAACTGATTCCTGACAGCAAATCTCCTCCAAAACCGATAGAATGTGATTTGCGCTTGAAACATTTATTTCACATATTATTAGTATTCGCTAAGTTGCAGAAACTGTCTTAAAAAACAGGCATCTGGACCAAGCCCCTGCTCTAAAGAATCGTCAGTCTATACCGATTGATGATTGGCTAATCTACTGGAAGGCAGGCCTTTCTTCTCTGAAGTGACTGTTGCCTTTTTCACCATTCAAAAGTAAACAAGTTGCACGTCTTGTGTATTCTATAGTGTTTAGCTGGACTAAACAATGACAGAACCTTCATTTTGGGGTGAGCAATCTCTTTAAAGAGAAAAACATTTACCGTCAAAAGTACATTCAGGTCCTTTCCACTGCCTAATGAGGTATGTATGGGTCAGGTGCATATCTTCTGGCACATGATCTGTCGCCTCTTTTATTTGGTATGGTCCTGAACCCAGTGGCACAACCGGTGACAGTAAGCTGGAGGACTGACAGTGGAGAATGTTTGACTTGGGTGTCTCAGTCTTTTCCATAAATGCTCAAGCCTCTTCCTAAAACCATAAACAGTGAAGATGTCAATAATGCCGATGAAGTAACGCTGCTCTGGTCCATCAATGACATGAAGCGGGTTCTTGAAGTTGGGAAGGAGCCTCCGGTTCTGGGACTGAAACGCTTGTAGGTCAGCCGATTCTGCTCCTGCTCTACTGGGTCCCTCAATGTTTTCTCCTTCAAGACTTGTATTGTCCATTCCATCATTGCCACTGCATTCTGTTATGTGACTGTTGTGTGTACAGTTTAATTCAGAGGGGAGGGGTGATGAGTCTTCATCTGCCACCACTCCTGGTACAGTGGGTGAAGCGGCATGTGTGGGACTGGACACTGGATTCACTGACCTGACAGACAGAACATAAGAACATTAACTTGAGCAGGTGCAAAGTATGTGGCTGTTGCCCATATTGGAGATGAAGCTCTTGTTTTTTTAGCAGCCGGTTACTTCACCTGAACTTTTCATGCTATTAATAGCATGTAAAAAACAATGGCAATGTTAACATTTGGCGTAAACAGGACGTTCATTTTAAAACTATAGGGCTCTATTTTAACAATCTAGATTTTAATAGTCTAACTAAGTGTAAGCGCAAAAGCATTAAGAACGTGTCTGAATCGACTTCTGCAATTTTATGGATGGAAAAATACGATCTGCGCCCTGGCGCATGGTCTAACAGGGATTGGCTTATTCTCTTAATGAGTTATGGGTGTGTTTTGAGCATAACACACATTAAACCAATTAGAGTCTCATCTCCCATTCCCTTTAAGAGTCATGGAGCATTTGCCATTTACATGGCAGACTTTATAAGTGGAAAAACTGAATGTTTCACTAGCAAGAAAACAGTGAGAAAACAAACCATCTGCAGCTCGAAGATAAAGAACAAGCCTCCTCCATTCGGCATCTTTACTTTCTCTTTACTTCACTTTTACTTTTTATTCCTTTTGTTGAGTAAGAAAACGGTGTTGTACGCACTCCACTGAAGACATCTATTAGCCTGTATATTTAATTTCATTTGTTAAGCGCAAAGATTTGTTTCAAAACTATTTCTAAATTCAGTTAAACGAATAAATGAACAATAATAACGAAGTGTGGTCAAAAAACTGAGTTAAATTCAAACTCACGTCCTATTCTTTTGCTCCATATGGTGATGCATACATCTCCAAAACCAGACAGATGGACAAATTTAAACTAGTTTTGTTAAAACAAATATAATATGCATATAATAAATAATACTGCTAATAATAATAACATTATAATAAAAAATAAAATGAATAATGTCCTAAATAAACTGAAAATACCCTCCAGACATGAAGAAGTCATATAATAATACATATCCTTTAATAATAAATAACACACCTCCTTTATAGACCATGAGTACACAAAGTAGTGCAAATGGATGTGATATTTAAACAACGTGGCGAAAAATGTGAAAATTAGGGTTGCGCTGGTCTGAAAACAGCAACACATTGCGCCAAATACATGTTGCGCTTTATAGCGTTGTGTGTACGATAAGGCCCATAATGTTTACATCAGTGGTTCCCAACCAAGGGGTCATACAGTAACCCCCACTAGGGTGCACCAGAAAAGTTATCAGAACATTTGCAATAATTTAAGGCATACAAGCAGGATTGAAACAGATACTAATCTGATAATAAACGAAATTCATGATGGTCAATATAACCATTCTAATAATCATTAAAAAGAAATTTAATCAAAATGCTTGATTATACATCATACAGTAAATACTGTCCAAGGTTAAGCAATTTTAGCAACTGACTCAGAGAGACATCATAGGTTTTGTTTTGTGTGAAAATGTAATGGTAGGTCATGAAAGGTTAAACTGAGTGCAGAATTTCAATTTAATCTCAATTTAAGAATGAATTCTATCAAGTTATATAAGAAGGGAACTGACTGACATGTTTTTTTTTTCTTTTTTTTTACATCTTAGCTTTCAGAATACTAATCAAAGTTTGCTAAATGTACAGAGGAAACAGCTCTATTATTGCAATTCCATAAACACCACCTACTATCAGAAAGTGGATTTACACATTTATTCAGATTGTCTGCTGTTTTTTTTTTTTTTTTTGTAGACCCTACACTCTCACTGGGGTGGTACCTTTTTAAAAGAAACAAATTTGTACTTAAAAGGTAGATATTAATACCTCAAGGGTACACATTAGTACCTTAAAAGTACAAACATGTTCTTCTTAAAAAATTTTAGGTAATAATTTATACTTTTGAGGAACCAAAATGGACCACCCAAGGTACCATCCCTGTGACAGCTCGTGTACCTTGATTTCTGAGAGTGTAGATTGGGTCAAAGTAATGCTGTTATGCACTTGTGCAAATATTAAGTGAATGTTATAATGTTTGTTCTAAACAAAAATAAATACTATTTTGGTGTCAAAATTTACTGCAACAAAGTAAATGTTAGTAGATAAAATCTTATGTTGCAAGACAAACATGCCAACATTTGCGAGTTTAAAATCTGACCACCATTGTTGATGTTTATTTAATTGTTGCAATTTTCAAAAGCCTAAGAGCTTAGTTTTAACATGGTTAGGTATTGCTAAGGATTTTGAATGTTAAAAATATATATATTTTTATATAAAATTTGAGAACCACTGCTTTACATCATTCTAAATTTGTATGAATTAAATTTAATGTGGAATGCATGTAAAAAGAGATGTTTCGCAGAATGTCCACGTTGCTCTTTTCCATACAATTAAAGTGAATGAAGACCAAATATTGTCAATCTTCAAAAAAGCCTTATAAAAATGACTCCACTTTTAACAGACATTGCAGGTGACTGATTAAAACCTGGATATGGTTACCATACAACTAAAAACTGAAAACACCTAGTAATACCAGGTAGAAACAGGGCCTTTTTGTGACAACAGGTTGCTGTTCAATGAAAAGCTTGACAGTACATCACTGCTATTCATTTTCTATGCAGCTTGGACTTTCTGCTATGTACTTTTGTGTTCCGTAGAAGAGACATACAGCTTTCAAAAGACGTGACTTTTGGGTGATGGGTGAACTATTCATTAAAATGTTGGATAAACTACAATGGATGAGATGATGATAATTAATAAATAATAGCGTGGTAGTAGCAAGGACACACATGGTTGTTATAGCTTGGTTTAGTAATTTAGTTTTTGTTATTTTCAGTGAGACACTGCTTTAAAAATGGCGCTCAAGCGGGATGTGATTTAGCTACATGCCTGCCTGCCAGTGGCCGTTTGGAGAAGAAAGGGAAGGATCTGAAAGCAGAGGTGAACATGAACATTCACAGTCAAGGTTATTTTTAAATCCTGAACTCAACTAGAGGCATGAGATCTTCCAATGGTGTGGTCACATTCAGACTGTTTTGGTAAAGTTTTGCATGCCAAATATGACTATTATACTTTGTCACTAAAGTAGATAATGCTTATACAAATATTATTTTCAAACCAAACAACTTTCTGTTGATCAGCGTTGTAAGTTTAAACAATCAATATTAACACAAGCAAAATCTGTATGGTGAACTTTTTCCCCTTAAATGAAACTATTTTTGTACCTACTAGATTTTGCAACCAATAAACAGAAATATGTGCACATCTAGGATTCTCAAAGGCAGGTGCTCGATCAAAAACAAACACAGAGGCAAAAGATCAAGAGAAAATCGGCACACTGCCACTTTAGCTCTCAATTTTTTCGTTTCGACCTATATGGTCTTCATCAGGTTAACCTGATTTTTTATATTTTTATATAACAACATTTTGATTTGAGATATATATACACACACATATATATATATATATATATATATATATATATATATATATATATATATATATATATATATATATATATATATATATATATTGTGAGGGCTAAAGTGGCAGTGTGCCACTGTTACCTGCTAGATTTTGCTCATAGAATTTAGCTGAGTAATGGTTAATGTGACCCCACACCTGAGATAAACGTGAACAGTGACCACATAAATGTTATGCACTTCATAAAATAAATTTCAATACTACAGCATCTCCTGCATGAATCTCATTTAGCAGTCAAGCTTGGTTCAATGATCTGGCATTAGTTAAATAATAAATATTTAGAAAATATCCTAAAACTTTATGTAAATTCATAACAAAAAACAGATTTCTGCAATTGACACAATGTAGATTATTTTGATCATTTTTACTAAAAGAATTTAAAACTTCTTTTTAAATGTTTGTGATAGTTTGTGACTGATGAAAAGAATGAAATTCTGACTGTTGCGAGTCAAACAATTCAATGCAACTCGATTCAAATCACATCATAAAAATGGTCAAAACACAAAAACATTTTCATTATTCATTACCATTTAATTACCATTACCTTTTAATAATTCATTCATTTATTTTATTTTCGGCTTAGACCCTTTACACCCCATTCACATGGGGCTTCAGCGTCAACGCTTGACAGATGGCGTGCCGGAAGATGGGGCTAAACCGATCGTCATAGCAGCATCAGCCAATGAAATTAGTTTGAAATCGGCTACTGTCTGAGCTGGTGTATTTGCATACAGCAATATGATTGGCTGACGCTTCCGTTGGCGCTTGAAAAGTTGAGCAAGTCCCAACTTCTGCAGCGAGCAATGCCTCTGAAGTGGTGCCGACAGATCCACAATGCAGTTCAGCAATGCCTAAAGTCACCCATTCAAAGTGAATGGGAAGTGTTGACGCTGACGCACTGTGTGAATGGGAGATATTAATCAAGGGTCATAACAGCGGAATAAACTGCCAACTTATCCAGCATATGTTTTACACAGCGAATGCCCTTCCAGCAGCAACCCAGCACTGGGAAACATCCATACACACTCATACAATCACATACGATACGGACAATTTAGCCGACTCAATTCACCTGTATCGCATGTCTTTGGATTTGTGGGGGAAACCGGAGCACCCGGAGAAAACCAATGCGAACACGGGGAGAACATGCAAACTCCACACAGAAATGCCAACTGACTCAGCTGAGGCTTGAACAAATGACCTTCTTGCTCTGAGGTGAGATCGCTACCCACTGCGCCACCGCATCCCCCCATTTAATAATGCATTAGTGAAAATGAACTATGAGGATTTATAATCCTGTATAAATATTGTTCATTCTAAGTTAATGTTAGTAATTACATTAACTAGAATTATCTAATGACATCTTATTGTAAAGTGGGACCGTTATTCCTTCTCACACAATTTGAAATGACACATTTCTAAATAAACACATTTTAAAGATTTATTTATATATATTATTTTTCAAAAAACATGAATAAAGAAAAACATCTATTTTTATTTTCTCTTTAATTAATTAGCATTTCTAAAAATAAAATGTTATGTTCCAAATTAAACTGGCCAGCATAATAAAATAGGGGAAAATATCTGCTCACTTTTTGGTGCGCATGATGAGTGTTGCGAAGGACAGACTCTGGCTGAGCTCATCCTGGTGCAGGGGCTGATGGGCCAGCAGGAGACTGTAGTCCAACACATTGAGTGTCTGAAGAAAAGCTGTGTCGATCTCCACTTGACGCAGGAGCCAAGGACGCTGTTGATCTGTCATGTAAACAAGGAGGCATGAATAGGCCCACACGGAATCTGTGCATGCAGAAATTTGCAGATTTATGCAGATTTTTAGCCCATCATTGAGTCTATTTATTTCCTTGTGTGAATGTGTGTAAATTTATATTAATACAGTTTTTAAATTAATTTTAGTGATATTATTGACTGATGTGAAAATGGTCATATGATTTACTTAGGATACAGTTTGTAAAGTAATATTTTAGTAGATTTATATTATATGAGAGAATTTCTTCGTTTAACAAATAAGTGGTTCTAATTGGATTTACATTGTAAACATTAAGTAAAAGTTAAAAAGGAGTTATTTTTCATTTTAATTTAACGATACTCCCAAAATCACTGCGCATGATTCCGCAGATTATTTACAAAATTCTCTGCAGAAATAGAAAAAAAAAAAATCTGCAAATTCTGTCTGGCCCTAGGCATGAGATCCATGAAGATGAAGCCTTAGGGCCAGATTTACTACACCAGTGAAAACTCTTTTTTTGGCAAACCACTTTAAAGATTCACTAAAGACATGACACAAAATGGGGTGGAAACGTGTACGCCAGTTACCATGCAAAAGTTGTGATCTATAAAAACAAACTTGATGAGATAATGAGCTTTAAGTGCACTAAGTAAACCTATTTATCTTAAATATTGACTTAATTGAACCACTTTAAATTGTCATATGAGCCCGAAATCATTAATAAACGAATTGTAATTTATTCTGCTGTTCGTTCACATTTTCAGGAAAGTGTCTATGCAAAGTTTTATAAATATAACCCCAGGTTTGCAGCCTCCCCATGTTTGGCTTTTTTTGGTCTAATTCTGGTCTAATTGTGTCCACTTTCACCTTTGAGCTTACCTAAATGAATGAACTGTCCTTCGAAATTCAGATCCTTCAAAACCACTATGATGTGGCTGCCTTCAGGAGCTGGATCCGTCCACCGGCTCACCTCGCAGCCCTTTATATCATACCTTTAACATGGAGAGAAAGATGTGAATGTACAACTACAAGAGTTGAGAGGATCATTATTTTTATCATTAGTGCAAGGTAAAAGTAACAGCTAAAAGGCAAAGCTTTTAACCATCAATAACAGCAAGGCTGGGGATTACTGCAAGTGTGCTGCACATACGTTGAGACATTAACTATTTATAGGACTGATAATGGACAACACTCCATTTTCATTTAGAGCAAGCCCTACCTTGCCATGATTCTGTCATCAGGGTAAAAGACACTTTGCATCACAATAAAGTACTTCTGCATACAAAACATCAATACAGCTTTCAGGGTTCGTGATATAATCGATAACATAGACTGTAAATGAAAGATCCAGAATACTTGACATAATTACCTTCCTCTGATTTGCTATTTTGATCCTGTGAACACCTGTCCATGAATAAAGCATATAAATGTATTAAATAGATGCATCTATTGATACTATTATCAAAATATTAATAATTGAAATAATGTAAATGATAATACATCTTTAAATTTATATTCTATTGTCTGTACAACTTACTAACGTCAATAAAAATAAAAGTTCAAAAAGTAATATATATATATATATATATATATATATATATATATATATATATATATATATATATATATATATATATATATATATATAATCAGTTTTCTGGTTTCTCACCTAATATGATTTAATAAAGAAGTCATAAATTCACCAGCTCACCTAAAAACTTGACGAGCAGAGAGTGAGGGTATTTCTCCAGATGCTCCATGTAGATTCTCAGGTTAGACAAGAGAAATCGCACTTCTCTTTTGCTCTGTGTCTTTAAGAAGAATCGCTTGTCATTGCTGAATAGAAATGAGAAAAGTATTTGTTACAAAGTTTACTGACAGCTGTGCATTTGACATTCACTTCAACCTTAAGGGTCAGTGCAACTTTTAATGTTTAAAAAAAGATCTTTTATGCTCACAAGGCTACTTTTTTTTAAAAATATGGTAAGTGTATTATTATAACATACTGTATCATTACATTATTATTATTCCAGTCTATAGTAACACATGATCCATCAGAATCATTCTCATGCTGTCTTTTATATTTTTAGTAACTTCTTTTATTATATTTATATTATATAATCTATCTGTAATCTATACGTACAGTATGTAACGTTAAAATATATATATATTTTTTTTCCCAAATTATATTTAACAGAGCAAAGATTTCCAGAAATATTTTAACTTCACACTGTAAAAAATCAGACTTAACAAAAAGTTGAAATTACTTGTTTGTTTGTTTTTTGTTGGTTTAGCAAAAAGCATTAAAATGTCTGTACAATTACTAAAATGTTTTCCATTAAGTAAAAAAGATTAGTTTTGTGAGCAAAACTTTGCAAGTTCAGCCCAAAAAAAAAAAGCTTCTGCTAACTTCAGTTCAGTTTCCTTTATTTTTGTCATTCAAAACATCATAAATTGTAACGCAGAACAAAGTTACGTTGCATCAGACCCAACAAGAACATAAAAAACATCAAACACTATAAAAACCTAACAATAAATAAGCTTCTAGAATTTCATAAATATATAAAATATAGTTATATAAAATATAACTAAATTTTTTTAAATCACAGAAGGAAATAAGTTAATACATAAATAACTGTTGCACAGTTTGTTATACTAGTTGTAATATTAAGAATTTGTGCTAGTTTAAGTATTTATTGATTTATTATTATATACTAGCTATACAATAGAATTAAGATACAGTATTATTCAAAAGTCATAAAACCACACTGATTTAATTGTTACTTTAAGTTTATAAATCTCAGACTTCCTCACTTGAAAAAATAAAGGTTGCAGTATTACTAAACAGAACCACAACGACAAAAATAATAGTAACACCAATAATAACATTAAGGACATTATTATTAACAACAAAAACAACAAAATACTACTGCAATAATGATAACGTAATTTGAAATTATTATTCTTTTGTAATTGATCTTTTTTGGGGGGAGGGGGGTGGCACAGCTGCAGAAAGACTATTAATGTGAATTTACATCTTACATTTACTTAGGTCAATGTACAAAAAGAAACCCTTAGCACATGTGGACTGTTAATTTGTATTCAATGTGTATATACCTGTACAGTTGAGGTCAGAATTATTAGCCCACTTAGATTTTTTTTCTTTTCTTAATATGTCCCAAATGGTTTTTATCAGAGCAAGGACATTTTCACTGTATGTATAATATTATTTTTCCTTCTGGAGAAAGTCTTATTTGTTTTATTCGACAAGAATAAAAGCAGTATTTAATTTTTTTATAAGCCATTTTAGGGTCAAAATTATTAGCCTCTTTAAGCTATATTTTTGATAGTCTGCAGAACAAACCATCGTTATACAATAACTTACCTAATTACCCTAACCTGCCTAGTTAAGCTAATTAAACTAGTGAAGCCTTTAAATGTCACTTTAAGCTGTATAGAAGTGTCTTGAAAAATATTTTATAAAATAATATATACAGTCATTATGGCAAAGATAAAATAAACCAGTTATTAGAGAAGTTATTAAACTATTATGTTTAGAAAAATAAACAGGGGGGGGGGGGTAATCATTCTGACTTCGACTGTATATGGAAGTTTTTTCCTAACAAAATTCAAATGTAAATTCAAATGTCTAAACAAAATCAAATAATAAATTGAACTTTCAAAACAACTAGCCAAATAATAAATCAAACACACCTACTTACAAATAATAGATATAAATGCATTTTTAAATAAAAAAAAAATCAAATATTTAATTTTCATGAACAACTCAGTAAAATCCTGCAATAATTAAATAAATCAAATGCTCAAACAATCATTCAAATGGAGGAACCAGTTTCTGGTTCTGGAAATAGTTTTATTTTTGCTGCATATATATTTCCCATACTTTTAAAAGAGAAGTAATAATTTTGACTTTAACTATACCTGTACATAATGTATGTATATTGATTGTAAATTTGTCATTATTATTATATTCAAAAATCATATTCAAAAAACAGCAGGTTGGCAGCCATATTAAGCTAAGTGATTTCTTTCATTCACGTATCTGTGAGCGGTGTCTGTTTCTGTCCGTTCTGCAAATTCTCCAGCATGTGAGATGTTCGTGCTGACTCACGTTAGGAAGAAATCTGCCTTGCTCTTAGAGTTGCTGATGAATTGCAGGTAACAGCCTTCAGAGGAGAGCGACTGCTGATACTCCTTCTCCGTCATTCCCAAAGAACGACGCAGACTTGCAAACACCGGCCCCGCGTATGTCTCCATCCTGAAGTCCTTCAGCACAAATATACACACAAATGAAACAGAAATATCTGACGCACAATTCAAGCACATGCTTAACAGCTGCTTATTCATTCTGTCAAGTTTCATTTGGCGCAGCCAAAAATTGCTAAAATTACAGCTAGAGGAGTTATACCTTATGGATTTGAGTAACCTCAAGACTGTAGTCATCCTCACACAGCTCATCCTAAAAATAAAACACAAAATAGATGACCAGATGATGAGAAGTAGTCATATTGTATTTATTTTTGTTGTTTAACGCTCATTATGCATTCAAAATCTGTACTATTTTCACATTCCCAAAACAATAACTGTCATAAAATGTTCATAACATAACATATACACAACATTATATATGAGCAATATCACACGAGTAGCAGTGCGATATGGCTGTATATCGGCACTGCTACTCGTGTGATATTGCGTTGATACAACAGTTTGACGGCATAACTGTGTATATAAAAACAAAATCAAACAGTCTCAAAAACCCTTTTGTATGAAGAACTACTTTCTTCCAGCTTGGATTCAAATCATAAGCTGACAGTTAAAAAGCTGAGCAAGCATCTTTTAAACTTTAGTTCTAAAGTGTCTGCTTTTTGCCGGCTGTATGTGGGCGGAGTAATACACAAAGGGTAAAGAGGCTGTACGGGTGCTGATATTACTTAAATATATCATGGCTATCAGACAATTAGATTCGAGAACCAGACAGAACTGTTGTATAAATATTTATATATGAAACATTTTAGTCTGAAAGAGAGCCGAACTGAAAAAACTCAAAGAAGTTACGTTAATCCAAAACATAAAAGCAATTTAAAACTGATTGTCATTCTCTAATTGTCTGATTGTCAGACTCTCTCACTCAACTATCTTATAAAGAATCCTCCCTGCTTCAGTTCTGCCTCCTACAACATGCAGTCATAAATTACATTAATACATTACATATATACCTGTATGTATATATATGTGTGTGTGTGTGTGTGTGTGTGTGTGTGTGTGTATACATATATATATATACATATATATATACATATATACATATATATATATATATATATATATACATATCATGCACTGATATTTATATATATATATATATATATATATATATGTATATATGTATAACCAAATGAACAATAATATGCTTTAACTATAGTACTACAGCATTTACCACTTTTTTCTATAAAAAAAACTTTTTAGGTGCGTGAAAATGGGAAATGTCTAAATATATTTTACTTTTGGACACTTACTGTAAATAACACAATATATAATAATACAGTATACCTAACAGTGCTTACTATATCATAAAAATAAACATTATCTCTTAAAATGAAATGTGTAAATATATATTTTAATAAGGTCATTAATGCATTGCTAAGTTTATTCTCCTAATAAAAAGTTAATTGAAACTATGTCTTTCTTATTGGTCAAAATCAAGCTGGATATAATACAGAAGTAAAGTTGTGACTGATCATTGCAATAGTGCTTTGACCCCAGGACAATAGGCAGCACATTTGGGATTCATTCTGCTGCATAAGCACACTGGATTCAATAGAAGCAGCTCTCTGCAGCATCATCTCTGTGTGTGTTTGTTTACAGACACGCACATGACCATGAGTGCGACCAAACTAAAGAATAGGATCAGGGGATGTGTTTGCCTCATAACCTTCTTTGTGGTTTAAAAAACAGAACTATTAAAAATGTACTGTTAAAAGAGGGAACATTATTTCACATTTTTTTCACAATTCTGTTGAAATGAATCCATATAGTTATTTTAAGGTGTTTAACGGCTTTACTAACTTGCAGTGGACATTTATTAACAAAAATAAGATATTAAAGATGCCACAGAATGACAATCTGAACCAAAACATAGCTGAATATTAAGAGTTCAGAAAATAGAACTGACAAACCATAAGCCTCAAATGTCATAGTTTCCTTGTTCTCATGTAAGACATGGTAAAACCCTGGGGTAAATCAAGCTAATCTGAACAAAAACACAAACTCTGATGAACCACATTAAATAATTAAAATGGAGGCTCAGGCAGCATTTAATTGGCCACAACCTTTCCTAGTGAGATTACAACACTGATAAACTTCTCACTTTTTTTAAAGTTGATCTAAGCTTGTACTAGAATTACTATGTTTATGGGACTCTGTTTCTTTTGTTAGTCCAACATGTATATTGTGAAATTTGCTAGATAATATGATAGTAATGAGGCAAACGACATGTGAACTGCTGAATATGTGTGTGCTTAAAGTGCATTTCTGCATCATGTCATATCAATCAATTGTGATTTTTCTGAAGTGAAAGGAAGCCAATAAACTTCATAAGACTAATCTCTCTCTATAATGAGATTAATATTAACTCCTGGCTGTGTTTTCATATACATTAAAACCCCAAAACACAACTCTAAATACATATCTTTTGTTTACAGAAAATGGTCTTAAAATTGAGACAGTATACGGTTATTCAGTATACAGTTCTGCAGATGAAAATTGTACAGTATAAATGGGGAAAAATGTAGTCATGCAAACATCATGTCCAGAGTTGAAATATACTGATATGTCAGTGTAATACACACTTAGGCTTAAATGTACACTGTGTATTATGCTTCTGCTGTTATCAACATTCTACTTCGTACTGATTTCATGGTTTAGAAGAAGGCTCACATTTTAGCAGTCCCGTTTCTGCGCTCTATTGTGGTGTTTTCATTTTCTATGGTGCATTGTTGGCATTCTGTTCCTCCTCCCCAATGCATGCAGTACAATGGTGTTTGTTGCTCAAACACTTGGCAATTCTTCCACAACCCAGCCAGAGTTGGGGAAACTCACTTTCAAAAACAAAGTAATACGTTGTCTTTAAAAGTAAAAAGTTGACTTTAAAAAGTACTTAGATACTTTTTTAAAGAAAAAAATATGTTATGTTACTTGTGCATTGCTTTTTTTTCCTGGACTGGCCTTGTTTGTTTGCATTAATATAAAAAGTTTTTGAAAAATGTATGAACTTTTACAAAAGATTGATTGTTAAGTTTTAAGTGTGAAGTCAACAAACCTCAGGCTAAAGGAATTGTAAATTCAAATCTGTGCAGTTGAGGAGCAGCTCAAAAAAAAGTATTCAGCAAGCAATATCGGTCACACTTTACAATAAGGTTCATTAGTTAATGTTAACTAATGCATTTACTAACATGAACAAACAATGAACAACACATTTACTACTGTGTTTGTTCATGTTAGTTAACGTTAGTTAATGAAAATACAGTAGTTCATTGTTAGTGCATGTTAACTCATGGTGTATTAACTAATGTTAACAAGCATGGACTTGGATGTTAATAATGCATTAGTAAATGTTCAATTATGATTAATAAATGCTGTACATGTGTTGTTCATGATTAGTTCATGTTAGTAAATGAATTAACTAATGAACCTTATTGTAAAGTGTTACCGGAATATCCTGAGTTTTTTTTCACAGTTTTAATTCATCTTAAGGGATCCTGAATCTGTGTTTATGTAAATTATACAAGTAAATTCATTTTCACATTTAAACTAGACCTACAGTAAAGTACATACCATGTTTACACATACACTACCTGACAAAAGTCTTGCAGCCTATCCAAGGTTTAAGAACAACAAATAATGGCTTGACTTCTAGTTGATCATTTGGGATCAGAAGTGGTTTATGTAAAAGGTAAAGGCCTCTATTATGCTTATTTTACCAAAATAAAATATAATCATGCCTTGATTTTTAATTATATAATTAGGACAGTAAGGTCTGACTTTGCTTGACAAAAGTCTTGTCACTAAACAGAAATAATGTACAGTGTAGAATATAAAGTCGTGTAGCAGTGGAAAAAATAATTAATATTGTGTATGACTCTCATGAGCTCGGAGGACTGCATCCACACATCTCTGCAATGACTCAAATAACTTATAAATTAATTAAACTTTAAAGTAATCTGGAATGGCAAAGAAAGCATTCTTGCAGGACTACCAGAGTTCATTAAGATTCTTTGGATTCATCTTTAATGACTTATTTTCCATCCATGTCTGGTGACTGGGCTGACCAATTCTGAAGCACCTTTTTTGCTTTCAGGAACTTTGATGTGGAGGCTGAAATATGTGAAGGAGTGCCAACCTGCTGAAGAATTTGCCCTCTCTTCTGGTTTGTAATGTAATGGGCAGCACAAATGTATTGATACCTCTGGCTGTTGATGTTGCCATCCACTCTGCAGATCTCTTGCTCGCCCCCATACTGAATGTAACCCCAAACCATGATTTTTCCTTCACCAAACTTGACTGATTTCTATGAGAATCTTGAGTCCATGCATGTTCTAACAGGTCTTCTGCAGTATTTATGATGATTGGGATGCAGTTCAACAGATGATTCATCAGGAAAAAAAATCTGCTTTCTGACACTTTTCTGGGAAGTGAAGTTATTATTTTGCTTATACAATATTGCAATATTATATTGCTTTTACAATTGGGATCGACGACAAGACTTTTGTCAGATATTGAAGTAGACAACACTTTTGATTTCTCTCAACAAAAGGAGAGCCATCGATAAATATATATATTTTTAAAAAGTAACTCAAGTTACTATAAAAGTAACTATTTTCTTGGAAATGAAAAAAAAATGAATCTGTTACTTTACCAGTTACTTTAAAAAAGATAATCTAATTACATAACTTGTGTTACTAATGGATTACCCCCAACTCTGCCCCCAGATCAGCTTCTCTTAAGCAATTGACCATAATGAAGAGTAAAGCTGTAATCAAGCTCGATCACTGTAATATGGAGGCCCTTTAGCACCACAAACACACAGTCTCCATGGAAAGATCAAACTAAACCAGGCCCTCTCCATGGAGCTTCCCCTCATACTAATTAAGGGCAAATGGAGCATGTCTTGTCTCCTTGCAGGTCTTTGATCAGACCAAAGCTTTTGTCTCTCTCACCTTTTATTTCAGCACGTGTAATATGAGCTGAATGGTTTATTTCTTGGTAACTGCATTTTGGGTTTGTTGTCATTCGTCTCTACTGTTTCATAACAATAACAGATTACCAGATTAAAATACCAGTTTTTTTTTCTGGTACAAGATTATTTGCACCAGAATTTTGAAAAGCTGTAAATAAAACAACACAACAAATAATAATACTTATATTTAAAAATATTCTAAATACTGTCGATTTAAAACAGTGCACATGTTTTAGCAATCAATTATTGTTTAATATTATTTCTGTGTGTGTCTGTGTTGTGACATGTATTTATTTTTTAATTTTTTTGTAACTTTGTCCTATGCTTCCTGTCTCTTCCTGGTAGAAGGGATATTGTATCTTAATGGGACATTACTGGTTAAACAATTAAATAATAATAAAATAATAATAATAACAATAATAATAATAATAATAATAACAATAATAATAATAATAATAATAATAAAAGTAAATAAATTATATATATATATATATATATATATAACGAATAATTCCACGCTTAAAATGTTACTTTTTCTTGTCTTAAGTCCTCAATTTACAATAAATTTATTTACTAGCATGTCTGAATTGTTACTACACATTTTCTTCTGCTTTTTAAACAGTTTGATTAGTTGATGTTTTTGTCGTTTACGCTACAGTGGCAAACTGTTGTTTAACTTGAAACTAAATGAGTTTCATTTTTTTAAGTCACTATTTCAGTATTATTAAGTAAAAACATAATTTTGTGGAAATACTGACATTTCATGAATGCATATTACATGTTCAATCCGCATGTCTAAGTACTTGACAAATTAAAGCAACAATGGCAAACTTACAGGTTTATATTTGCACATAGGGGCCTGGCAAGCACGTTGTTTTTGTGGATCTGAGACAACATTGTTACGTCAACAAACCTTTTTAAAACCACAAAGGAAAGGCACGGTCACCTTGTAAACATGCCCACTGACTAATTATTAAAACATTAAACAAACATTTTAACAATACCAAGTCATGAACTTGATGAAATGAAAAATCCCATAAAAGGATTATACATTTGAATTAAATTTTGTAATACATCTTTTGGAAAACTAATCTAAAAACTAAACAATCTTTAGTGCAAAAAAGGTCAACTTTTATGGGCACTATCCACAAAAAAATCTGAAATGTATGTACTCATGAATAAAAACTAAACCAGAGATCACAAAATGTATTTTTTTTATGTACAAGTTTCAATTTTTTTGACAGACTACTATAAAAATCTACAAAACTCTTTGACAGTCTCTTTATAGTTTTTTCCTGCATCTGGAAGGAGTGATATTCTCTAGGGATTGGAGGTGTGAGCTCATAAACATGTGTATACTCACAGGTAAAGGGTTGTCAATGGTGTTCTGCACAGCAGCACGCAGCCCTTCCTTCATCATGCAGGTGAGACTGTGAAACTCATGCTCTTGGTCGATCTCAAACAGACCCAGCAGTTTCCATTGCTGCCTCAGTCCTCCCCACCGTCGCCTCTTCACCGTGCGACTGCGGCGGTTCACACTCGGCCCTGACATCTCCATCTACAACACACAGAAGACAACAAACAACTAACAATCCCTGGGCAGAAGCTAAACAATGCCAAAAAATTTGAAAGACTGAGAGACACCTAAAACTTTTGATGGCTGCATGGAGAAACATATATTCTGCTTCAAATTAAATTGATTTAAAACTAATATAAACTGTATTCAAAGTAAAAATGTCAGCTATATAAAATAAAACAATGCTTCAAAGTTTACAAAAGCATACATAGAGGTAGAGATAAACCGCTGTGACGCTAAATGAACTTTTAGTGGGTGTTTAAATTTAAATTTAACAACGCAAATGTATTATTTCTGTTTGACGTCTTTATTATTATTCTGAAGTCTCTAACCAACCAAACACAGACATACAAAATGAATAAATAAATTTATACTGCACTATTTAGCTATATAGTACTATCTTACTACTGTATAACTATACTCTATAGCTAGCTAGTGCTATGATATAATGACAAATGCATTTGTCATCATCTTGAAATACCAAGACAACAGACTGAAAACTCCCAGTCAAAGGATCAAAATTTCTATTCAAGCATCTCAGAGGTCTTTGGGTGTGGTCACTCGGATAGATAACCAATTGGTTATCTGAAATTATGTTATCTGGAACCTCCAATACTATATAGTGTACACTCCAACGTCAGCAATGTAACATACCACCAGCTGCAATAAATGCACTGCTCCTTTAAAAGCACCAGTATGCTGCTTGAACATGAGGAAATCATTTGGTTGCAAACAGTGTCACTTTTGCCCACTTCAACACCAGTGCAACACCATTTAGTTTGTCCTTCCGACTGTCATGTGTTTTTCACCACTATAAACCGAGTGCCAGAGCAATATTTAAACAGACAGAAGTACATTTGTATCCAGTGATGGCAATCAGCTGCTCTGCATGAATAAATTCAATTTTTCAATCTCATTTCAGGGTTTTCCCCTCCATAAAGGCTGGCTGGGGTTTTAAAAAATAAATAGCAGAAAGCTAAATAATAATAACAATAAAGACTTTTATATATAAATAAGTGTGTGTGTGTGTGTGTGTATATGTGTGTGTGTGTGTATGTGTATATACAGTTGAAGTCAGAATTATTAGCCCCCTTCGAATTTTTTTCTTCTTTTTAAAATATTTTCCAAACGATGTTTAACAGAGCAAGGAAATTTTCACAGTATGTCTGATAATATTTTTTCTTTGGGAAAAATTCTTATTTGTTTAATTTCAGATAGAATAAAAGCAGTTTTTAATTTTTTAAACACCATTTTAGGGACAAAATTATTAGCCCCATTAAGCTACATTTTTCCTCGATAATCTAACAAGCAAACCATCGATATACAATAACTTGCCTAATTACCTTAACCTGCCTAGTTAACCTAATTAACCAAGTTAAGCCTTTAAATGTCACTTTAAGCTGTATTGAAGTGTCTTGAAAAATATCTAGTTAAATATTATTTACTGTCATCATGGCAAAGAGAAAATAAATCAATAATTAGAAATAAGTTACTAAAATTATTATGTTTAGAAATGTGTTAAAAAAATCTTCTCTCCATTAAAGAGAAATTGGGTAGAAAATAAACAAGCGGTCTAGTAATTCAGGGGGGATAATAATTCTGACTTCAACTATATATATATATATATATATATATATATAATGGTGAATCAGACAAAATAGGAATTTGATGCACATTTAACACACTGATATTAGATTAAGGAGAGCCCGAGTTGATCTGAGGAACTTGAGTTTACCTTCACTGCGATTTAAAAAATGAAATAAATGTAGTGTATTTACATGAGTTATTAAAAAGATACACGTACCTCGCTGTGGTTCATGAACATATGTCCTCTGTCCGGCTTGTGGATGGGGGATCAGCGCATTCTCTCTCTCCTCTCGTGACATGACACGGCCGGTGTGCGGATGAAGACGCTCGTGCTCGAGCAGAGTGCGCGCTCCCGCACCAGCCCGTCCCACACACGCAGAAAGAGAGAGAGAGAGAGAGAGAGAGAGAGAGAGAGAACACAGACCACAGATACTGATAACAGCAAAATGCCTAAACCACAACTTCAGTAGATTGTGACGACGCAATAGTTTTCTCTAATCAAACATTCAAGTTGTTTCCCAAACGACGATGTTATAATGCGCTATGCACTGCTCTCTAGTTTATGAACTATATATATATTAAGGTTCTTTTGTAGCTCATTTAGCCCTGCACAGTGTACACTCCACTAAGTGTGCAAGGTGTCCACACATATATATTACACATATCCTTTTTGGTATTTTCCAGTGTGAACGCTCTGCGTAAACACTGTAACAGAAAACAAAACAAAACTTGAACATGTAACGCTATGTAAAGTGTATGCTCGAGGGATAAATCTTACAGACTAATATCAGAAATATTTAATCTTGTGGATGTTTTTCAGTCCTCGAACCATTTCAATGTTGTCATAATGGCCCATGAACATTTCCTGCTTGTTATCAAACTTTCATAACTGTAATAAGAGACAACTCAATCATAACTTAATATTAAAACGTCTATCATAACATTATTTATCAATATGTGGCTCTTTTTGGATTTTCAGAAGCTATAGAAATTACAAATGTGAAACAGGACATACGTTGAGACTATTGTTGTTTTTTTTTCAATAGAAATGCACTAAAGAAGGAAGTACTTATTTACATGACCTGGGAATGTTGCTTTGTTGACCTATTCTGGTGTACAAGTTGAAGAATAATGGATGAGTGGCTAGGCTGTGAGTTACCTGTAGAGCCACGGCTATGCCTTCTGGATGACAAACTAGTGATACCTAATATAGGTAAAAATACCTTTATTATTCTCAAGATTGGATGCTTTAGAGCCGCTAGAATGATCCTGTCTAATTTGAAGTATCCCAGAATGCCAGAAATTGAAAGAGTGGATTAATGGGATGATTGAAATTGCATCATATGAGTGTCTGCTGATGAGATTAATCAATGAGAGAAAAGTACATAGAAAATGGGACATTTTAATATTAAGTTATGATTAGTATGCTGTTTTTCTTAGATGAATTTTCTTGGTGTGACAGGTGGCTGAATATGTAACAAATATCATATGTATGTGTACTGTGAAGTGTGTTCTATGTTCTTGGCTGTTGAAATATAAAACAATGGTTGAATTATAATAAACCTCCATCATGAATACATAAATCTTTAAAACAAGTTATTAATATAAATCTTATACACACTTTAACTTGCACTGGCAATTATTAGGCAAACCAGTTAAACTGCTTGCTGACACAAATATCTAAACAGCCAATCACAGAGCATCAGCGTGAAGCATTTAGGCATGTAGACACTGTCAAGACAATCTGCTGAAGCGCAAAACAAACTTCAGAATACTGACAATAGCTGATTTAAAGGCATAGTTTACCTCCACCCTCCAAAAAAATCATACATATAATCATTTATCTCCACTCCACTTCTTTCAAACCTATCCGAGTTTCTTTCTGCAAAAGACGATATTTCACAGAACACTGGTAATTGGGTGTTATTGATTTCTACAGAATGGTTCCTACTATGGAAAATGGTTATGATAGCAGCAGTCTTTAAAATGTGATCTTTTATGTTCAACAGAAAAAAAAATAATATTTTTAAAGCTGAGAATAAAAGCTAGTATTTTTTCATTTGGGGTGAAATGTCTCTTTAACAGAATTTGCATTTGGCATTGATTGTTGTTGTTGTCAAAAAGGTTGTTTGCAGAAACTGCCGATCTACTGGGCTTTTCATTCATTCATTCATTTTTTTGTCAGCTTAGTCCCTTTATTAATCTGGGGTCACCACAGCGGAATGAACCGCCAACTTATCCAGCAAGTTTTTACGCAGCAGATGCCATTCCAGTCGCAACCCATCTCTGGGAAACATCCACACACACATTCACACACATACACTACGGACAATTTAGCCTACCCAATTCACATGTACTGCATGTCTTTGGACTGTGGGGGAAACCGGAGCACCCACGCGAAGGCAGGGAGAACATGCAAACTCCACACAGAAACGCCAACTGAGCCGAGGTTCGAACCAGCGACCTTCTTGCTTTGAGGCGACAGCACATCCTACTGCGCCACTGCCTCGCCCTACTGGGCTTTTATAGCAAAATAATATAATAAAATATTTAATGAGCATCCGTTCTGTGGGTAAAAATGACTTGTTAATGCAAGAGGCCAAAGAATAGCCAGACTGGTTCAATAGAAAGGTAAGCAGTAACACAGCACAAGAGTAACAACCACTATCATTACAGCTGAGATATTAAAATCACCTCAAACCCTAAAAACAGATGAGCTACAGTAGCAGAAGTGTTATGTCAAATAAATCATATAAAACACATGACATAGGTATATTTCTGTTCATTTAATGAGGAATTGTTTGAAACAGCAAAAAATCCCTTTCCCATTATTTTCAGACTCTTCTTCTGATATTTGAGGCTAAAAGGAAGCACTCTACCTCATAAATATGTCTATTTACAAAACAAGAGAACAGCTGAAACACACAGACTTAAAGCATAGTACAAGAACAATGAAACATTACTCCCATATTTCATTTAGATGTGCTCTAAACTACACACATGTCTTATGTGCCTATTTTATCATCTTATGTATTATTCACGCTAATTCCCTAAATCATTGCACTACTAGCATGGTCTTGAGTCAATGTTGTAGCTACTAGATGTACAAAGCTCAGGTAGACTATTATTGTGTACATGTTCAGTACGGCTTTGGTGAATTAGTTAACTCTATTTTGATGTTCATTTTAACAACTACAGCACCTGAACATGACAAATGACTGGATTCCAGAAGTTCATCCTCTTCACATGGATGAGTAAAACCAACGCTGATCATTCTTGCTGCAGTACGAATCACAACAACCTGGAGAGTCTTAATCAACTTTCTTAGGTTTTCGATTCTTCCATGTTACGATCCCTATGAATGTGCCTTAAAGAGAAGTAGAACATTTGATTATTAAATACAGAGGAAAACATGAAAAGCTTTTAATTTTAAGGTTAGCTGTGCAAACATGCTAAAAGTGAACAATGTTTAAAATCATTTAGTAAATCTATTTGCAGCGTTCAAGAAAATGCAAGAAAAACTATTTTGACAGAATTATGTTCACATAAATTTAATTAACACAATTATTATGTTAAAGTAAAAGTTTAATCATCCGGTTTAAATATTTCAAAACTATTGATTGTAATAATAATTTTCTGATAAATAATTTTTATTCTCAACATTTGCAATTTAAATTTTGCTTATCTGTTTCTATATTTTAGCTCCCCACGTTGATGTTGCTTTTACTATTTGTTCATGTTTGTGAAGCACTTTTGAGTTGTATGTTATGCTGGAAAAGTGCTATACAAATAAAATGTATTATTACTATAAATTATTATTTTTATTAAAGAAGGATTTTGTTTTTCGCTTTCCTCACTGAGGCATAAATGCTTAAAATGACCATATTTTAATCAAAATTTACAGCATGAACATGTCATGTTAATTTTTTTATGGTTTTATTACTTGATCTGCTTACCAACAAAGAGCAAGAGGATTAATGCTGCGATGCCAGGAAGTATGACTGAATATTCTCGTGGAAGAAAATAGCTGTGTATCACATGGTCACTGTCTACGAAAGGCTGGAATAAGAGCAGAAGAGTTTCCATCACTTTTTTTAGCAGCATATGTTTTAGTAGCACAGGAAATAAGTAACACATTGTGCATGATTTATCTACCGGTAAAAATGAATTTAACTGATCACTTACCAAGACTACCACCCAAATGGAGTAATATGTGAACAGCAAAAGACTAAAGCCAACGAGTCCAAAGCCAACAGCTTGATCTGCTCCGGTTGCCTTAAGATAAATAGTTTTTGGGCTTAGCTCATATATTAACACATCACATTTTATATAAATTGCAAAAATAAGTAATTCAATAAAATATTTATACAAATTATACAATAAAATAATATACAATTTCTTAAGTCTTATTTGGGGTTATTTCAATTGTATTTTACAATCAAAACAAAAATAATAATAATAATAATTTTACCTCAAGTTTAACATAAATTAAGAACATGTATGAAGATTTTAGATGCAAATATCTCTAAATGCCATCTGAGTTTTTCCTCTAAAATAAGCATTTTTATCAGATTCCAGTGTGTATGTTCAGTAATATCACTTTAGGACAAAGAATAAGTCCTTTTCCTGTTCTTTAAAGTGAAATATCTCAACATAAACAAAGGAGGTAGGTAAAAATTTTAAATTTTCCATGGAAATTTAGGATGGCACTTAACGTTAGAGGTTTTTGCATCTGAACTCTTCATATGTACATACATAGAGCTTATAAAGACTTTCTGTCTGGATCTCTGGATCACAGCAAAGTATATATTGGCCTAGCTTTCAGCAGCGGTCTTTAAACTATGAACGAACAAGTAATGAATAAATATAATTTTAAATAAAAAGTAAGTTATATAACATGTCTAAAAACTGAAACTCTCATGAACCAGACGCATCACATTAACTAGAAAATTGAACAGTAAGTTAACTCTCTAGGAACGACGAGGCGTCTTAAAATGTGTTCTGTAATATACAAAATATATAAATACACAGGACAAAACAACAATTTTATACCCATTTAATTTCATCTTACCATTACGAACGTGCCACTTCCGCATGAGCTGTAAAACGTACGTACTTCCGACAGGCAAAGGAAGTGCTGGGAATTGTAGTTTACAACTCACCTTGGTTTTTTCATTATTCATCACACGAGGGCGCACAAACACAGATCCAGGTTTAGATACCCTCCAAAAAGAACAGTATGAAACAATAGAAAAAAATAACATAAGAGATAAAGAGAAGGCATGTTCCCCCTGCGTTCGCCTGGGTTTCCTCCGGGTGCTCCGGTTTCCCCCACAGTCCAAAGACATGCGGTACAGGTGAATTGGGTAGGCTTAAGTGTCCATAGTGTGTGTGTGTGTGTTTGTGTGTGTGTGTGTGTGTGTGGATGTTTCCCAGAGATGGGTTGCGGCTGGTAGGGCATCCGCTGCGTAAAAACATGCTGGATAAGTTGGCGGTTCATTCCGCTGTGGCGACCCCGGATTAATAAAGGGACTAAGCCAACAAGAAAATGAATGAATGAATAAAGAGAAGAGAGAAATGGAAAGACATTAAATATTTATAAGTATTAAATTAATTGTTCACATTATTATTTATTAGCATAAAAAATTTGTTTTGCAAATCAGAGTTAAGGCTACTTACACGAAGACCTTAAAAGCAAAGCATATTTTCACAGTTTTTAAAGCTTTCTTATTAGATTCTGAAATCAACTTTATATTGGCTATAATTCTTTCTCCACATCTTTAATGAAGACCATAAAGGCAGCTGCAACCCAGTATTGGGAAACATCCACACACTCACATTCACACACATACAATACTTATTCTGAGAGAATGAGTTAAACTGATAAATATATTTGGTTTTGTTATTTTAGTATTTCGGCCCTCTGCTTGAGAAGTGTTTTTCTGCTCAGTGTGTGTAAGTGTCCAGTAGGTGGCGCTGTAAGGAAAAGTTTTGCATGTGGTTTTATGGTACATACATGATCATGATGCTGCAAAATACTACAGTTGGATTACATTAGACTATATCGCAGGGAGATGTGCACAAACACACACGTAGGCTATATACGTATAGTTTCCGATCTCCGCCGCCGCCGTTTGAAACCCGGTCCATTGTTTAACACTTCCATCTGAATTTCGGAGACAAATGTTGGCAGATACAGCCAGAATAAAAAAAAACAGTTGATTCACTTCAGTCTTCACATACAGTAAGGTCACATTGATCCTCATTCCACATACGAACCAGTAGAGTCAGACACAGGACATGTTATAGGAGGGAAACTATATTTGAACTAAGACAGTTAGCCTATATTTTTATTCCTGACTTAGTTAAACCCATCAATGTTAAATTGTGTGTTTGTGGAGATATGTTAAACCCATGATGCTGTTGCAAATGTTTTAGCAGTAATGCAAATCCTTGGCTACAACACTCTGGATCAGTTGGAACAAAAAACTTGGTGAAATGTTACCAACAACCCCAAGCAAATTTAGCTGTGTCTATATATTTAATTTCACCTGTGCTCTGTGTGCTCATGAAGCCTGCACACACAAACAGTCCTATATAATTGTTAAACTGATGCACATTTAAACATTTTATTCATCTTTGTAACAGAGACAAACACAGATTATACTCGGAGCTGAGTCCTTTTTTGTCATAATTCTGATTTATAATGTTACATGTCACCCCAGTGAATATCCTGTTACAATTGGATGCTTGAAACGTAACTGTGCATTTTCTGTTTGTGCTACAAAGATAACATGTAGGCCATTTAAAAGCTGACACTTGTAGCTAGTTTGAATCACATTTTGAACACACTGGCTTAAAATATCTCAAGGATATAGAAAGGTAAACAAAAAGTTACAACTGTACCAGCCTATATTTGTGCTTCTAATGTAACTTAATTATTTACAGACCAAAATGGAACAACTTACAGATCTTTTTATAGACTTTACTAAATAAAAAATGACCAGTTGTAGTTTTAAACTGGTTTTCTGAATATTCTGAGTTGGACAAGGGGGAATATGACAAGCACATTCATCCATTGTAAAAGCGCTATACAAATAAAGCTGAATTGAATGACAAAACGATATAAATTGTAATAGTTTCAGTGGCTTTAATGGGAATTGTATTGATGGAAACTGTAATGGTCCCTGCAGGTCTCTATACTGGTAATCTATTGTCTCCTATCAGTGGCTTGTGTTAAAATCACTACATAACGGAGCATGACCCCAAATACAATACAAGCTATTAAAATGAACTGATGTTAACAAATTTTTTAAAGGTTTAAACAAGTCCAGTTTTTTCCCCAGCAGGACTATTATCTGAATGTTGTCAAATAAAGCACACAAAGATGAAGATACCCAACGTTATCTTTATTTCCCCCAAAATAATACATGCAGATAACCTCACTTGACAGTTAGATTAAAGAAACATTCACATTTGAGTGTAGAAACAGTTCTGGTCCAGCGTTAGACATCACCTCACTGTGCATGAAGATCCAAACGTACAAGACCAAGAAAACTTTGGAACAACACATCGCTTATGTGTGATCTTAAAATATAAATATCTGTCACAATCAGAAAAATAAATTCATTTCCATAGTACTTTAGTGGTAAATTCGTTTAGTCTATACAAGTTAGACATTTTTATCTCCAGAATATAATTTATTTATTTATTATGAATGCTGCTGTTGTTAATATGGATGTCATTACGGAAAGCGTTCTGTAAGTGCATAGCTTTCATCCTCCACCACAGTAAAGGAGAGATGAAACATTCTGGAGAGTGTGTGTGAGTGACATTAGTCCTCAATATTTAAGTGCTGCTGTAGTGAAAATTACAGGCTGTGGAAATCATCAGAGGTTTCAGTATTCTGGAGTCTGAGCTCAGTTATTTACCTTAAATAATCTTCATTTTACATTACATTAAAAAATATTCATTTTATAATCGTTTGCCATCATATTCAAGATTTTTCAAAATTTTAGAATAATGATTTATTTAATTGTTTTCAATTCAATTATTATTTTGTTTAAAATAGGAACTCCAGATTGCTGAAATGTACACAAACTGTAACTAAAAATCAACCCTCTTGTTTTCAACATGAACATTAAACCCCAGTCAGCTCCCTGCAACAGCATCTTAAATCAAGCATATACACTCACCGGCCACTTTATTAGGAACACCTTATTAGTACTAGGTTGTACCCACTTTTGCCTTCAGAACTGCCTTAATCCTTCATGGCATAGATTCAACAAGGTACTGGAGATTTTGATAAATATTGACATAATAGCATCATGCAGCTGCTGCACATCCATGATGCCAATCTCCCGTTTTTATCACATCACAAAGGTGCTCTATTGGATTGAGAACTGGTGACTGTGGAGGCCGTTTGAGTAGTGAACATATCGTCATGTTCAAGAAACCAGTCTGAAATGATTCACGCTTTATGACATGGCGCATGATCCTGCTGGAAGTCATCAGAAATTGGACGCAATGTGGTCATTAAGGGATAGACATGGTCAGCAACAATACTAAAGATAGGCTGTGGCGTTGACATGAAGCTCAACTGGTACTAATGGGCCAAAATTGTGCCAAGAAAATATCCCTCACATTATTACACCACCACCACCAGTCTGAACTGTTGATACAAGGCAGGATGGATCCATGCTTCAATGTTGTTGACGCCAAATTCTAACCCTATCATCGGAATGTTGCAGCAAAATTGGGAATCATCAGACCAGGCAACGTTTTTCCAATCTTCTCTTGTCTAATTTTGGTAGCCTGTGTTAAATGTAGCCTCAGTTTCCTGTTCTTAGCTGACAGGAGAGGCACCCCATGTGGTCTTCTGCTACTTTAGCCCATTTGCCTTAAAGTTTGACATGTTGTGCATTTAGAGATGCTCTTCTGCATACCTCGGTTGTAAATTTGAGTTACTGTTGCCTTTCTATAAGCTCAAACCAGTCAGCCTCCTCTAACCTTTGGAATCAACAAGGCATTTGTGCCCACAGAACTACCGCTCACTGGATAATTTTCTCTTTTTTGGACCATTCTCTGTAAACCCTAGAGATGGTTGTGCATGAAAATCCCAGTAGATCAGCAGTTTCTGAAATACTCTGATAAGCCCATCTGGCACCAACAACCATGCCACAATCAAAGTCACTTAAATCATCTTTCTTCCCCATTCTGATGCTCAGTTTGAACTGCAGCACATCATCTTGACCATGTCTACATGCCTAAATGCATTGAGTTGCTGCCATGTGGTTGGCTGATTAGAAATTTGTTCACGAGCATTTGGACAGGTGTACCTAATAAAGTGGCCGGTAAGTGTATATCCTGTATGTGTGTGTGTGTGTGTTTATACACAAACACACATACATATATATATATATACATATACATATATATATATATATATATATATATATATATATATATATATATATATATATATATATATATATACACACAAACACACACACACACACACACACACATACACATATATACTCTCTGCATATAAAAGATCACAGATTACAGTCAATATCGACTAAAAAGAAAGACATCAACATTACAAAAACTCTTTGTAAGAAAGAAAGAAGTGAGAATCCCAAATGTTAGACATTACAGAATTATTCAACATCAAAGTTGAGGAAGAAAAACACCCCATAAAAGAAGCTTCCACTGAACCAGCCTGCTGGTTCGAAAATACAAGATGACAGGACAGAGTTCCTGTTCTTAATAGCTTTTTGTGTGTGTGTTTAAAGGTAGATGACAAGTACCAAGAGTAAACAATGAAAACAATAAGATACATTTTTCAGTGTCTTCAGAGTATCCCTTTATACTAGCTGTAAGTAGAAACATCAAGAACATTATAGGCTTTAACAGGCCGCAGTATTACTGTATATTTGTCCTTTTAAAGTTAGTGTTATTTTAAATTTGCAGGAATAACAATCCCACAAAGAAGCAGCTGGATCATGCCACACACTCATTTGTTAGTGGACATGAATAATTATAAGATAAAGTAGATTCATATGAAAAATGTAATCAACGGTTTGCTATTGTAACTTACCCTCACCTCTCTACTATATTAGTTCAT